AGAAAGAAAGAAAGAAAGAAAGAAAGAAAGAAAGAAAGAAAGAAAGAAAGAAAGAAAGAAAGAGAGAAAGAAAGAGAGAAAGAAAGAGAGAAAGAAAGAAAGAAAGAGAAAGAGGGAGGCAGAGAGGGAGAGAGGGAAGGCCTCAAACTATATTAATGTGAAATGATCATTGAATATGAACTAAAATAATAAAACACAGGATTTAAAATCTGAGATATCATTCATGGGAAATCTTCCAATGCAAACACATGAAAGAAAAAAATTATCAACTAGATAAATGATAAACTGAAAGGAAATGACAAGCCATTTATAAATCCAGTTAACAAAACTTTTTTTCTTTTTGGTTTTTCAAGACAAGGTCTTTCTGTGTGTAACAGCCCCAGTTGTCCTAAACCTCAGTATGTTTGAGACTAGACTACGCTAGTCTCAAACTCAGAGATATGCCTGCCTCTGTCTCCCAAGTGCTGGGATTAACTTAATTCATCAGTAAAGCAAAACCAAACTAAAAGATAAGAAGTCTCAGAAACTTTTCCAAAATGGCTAAGTGACCAACAACAATGCAAAAACAATGTTTTCAATACAAGGAAAATGCTATTTCAAATCATACCAAGATTCTACTACTAACTCATTACTAATTTCAATTCTTAAAACTGAAAAACCTAGCTGGGCGGTGGTGGCGCACGCCTTTAATCCCAGCACTCTGGAAGCAGAGCCAGGTGGATCTCTGTGAGTTCCAGGCCAGCCAGGTCTACAGAGTGAGATCCAGGACAGGCACCAAAACTACACAGAGAAACCGTGTCTTGAAAAAACAAACAAAGCACTTCATTAGAGAGAAAGCAGACCAAAATTTTTTAAAGCTAAATTTCCCAACTACCTTTCAGAATTTCATAGTATCAATATGCACAAATGACATTTTATCAAGAGCGTAAGTTACAATGCCATCAAGAAGTCCAAAACTCACCTCATTTTCATACTGGATTTCTAACATTGCCCGTGAACTCCCAAGGTCCTGCATCACGGACTCAGCTTGTTTTAGCAGCTCCTCTCTGTTCACAGTGCGCTAACAAAGGAAACGGATGTGAAGAAATAATGCTTCAGGTATCACTTACTGCAGTGCAAAATAGATTTCACTGTTAGAAAAGTACTCCTTTAAGCACATCCCTTAGGAAGGTTAAAGTGGCTGCACTGTTAAAGACATTAACCAGTCCCTGAAACTGACCAGACTCACTACCCTCCGTGTTAGATTAAACAATATAAAGCTGAGAGTCCCTCTCAGGGAAAGTAAAGCTAAGCTGCACAGAAGACTCAGATAAGCTGACTTGCCAAGACTTGGAAAAGCTGAGTTGCAAAGAACATTCTCAGACAAGAAAGGCTACAAAAAGAGACCAGCACAGTTACCTGGAAGAAACAGAAACCAACTGGAAGAGGTTTAGACCAACTGAGGAACCTGGAAAGGTCACTCTCCAAACTGCTGAGCTGCCTATATACTGTGCAGTGTGCTCCAGGTACCGAGCTTTGTCACCCACACTACAGTGGGCTTTGATAATGCAATTATCTTTTGAGTAATTTATGCTTCTGTAAGTAACCCCTCACCCATAATCCTGTAAGTAACCCTAATAAAACTCATCTTCACCACATTGGACATCTGTACTTTGTTCTGTTCTGGAACTCCCTAACTGGGGTGAGAAGATGTGTGTTGTGTCTCCCCAGGAAAAGTTTTGTCACACAACAAGTATTCTCTCCATGTATGAAAGAAAGCTAGATATAAGTATAATTACTGATATAACCTGATCCATAGTTTAAGTTTAGAAAATTCAAGACAGAGAAAAGATCTTTGCTACTTGGCCAAACAGTGATATAATTCAGGGATCCAGCTACATAAAATCTCCTTGGGCACATTTATACTTTGATGATAGGAAAGTAGGTGTGGAGACTACAGAGGAGACAGGCAAGGTGTTTCTCTAGGCTCTGAACTGCCAAGAACAAGATGCCTCCTAATGAGATCATGAGGATGACAAAGGTCCTGCTATTTCCAAACATAGAGCACTGCTACTGATGGAAATCTTCATGAGATAAAGAAATAACATTATTTGCTGATAAGTACAGCAACATGGGTATGTATATGTTTGTTTCTAATTACAGTCACTCCTTCTACCTTTTGCTATTCCTAACAAAATGGACTTTTGGGACTAAAAACTTGGAAGCCTGGAAACATATACATACATACATACATACATACATACATACATACATACATACATACATACATACAAAAGAACAGTGGAATTTCCTGGGCAGTGGTGGCGCACGCCTTTAATCCCAGCACTTGGGAGGCAGAGGCAGGAGGATTTCTGAGTTCAAGACCAGTCTGGTCTACAGAGTGAGTTCCAGGACAGCCAGGGATACTCAGAGAAACCCTGTCTGGAAGGAAACACACACAAACACAAACACAAACACAAACACAAACATACACACACACACACACACACACACACACACACACACACACACACACACACACAGTGCAGGTCAAAAGGCTGGGATTGGTCTCACATGAAATGGCTTTGGTACAACTGCCAGCTAACATTAGAAGCCCGGAAGATGATAAAGTCAGCAACACCTGAGCTGACTGGAACAGACTTAAACTATGCAAGGGATTCTGTTTCACTCTCTTCCAAATGGGCTGCCATGCTAAGGGAGTAAAATGCACCTAATACACAGAGTCAATTTTAAAAGAGAAGCTTTCAAAATTAAGGTGTAAGCACCATGGTAACTAAATGAAGGATGTTAATTCAAAAATAACAGAAGACAAAATTGAAAAAAAAAAAAAAAACAGACAACGGGAAATTTTACTAACGGGTGATTTTTTGAAAGACAGAATGATAGAATTCAGCAATTAAGAAGAGTAACTGCTACTTGGTTCCCAGACCCTTCCCATATGCATATGCAGCTGGAGCTCACAACCTCCAGCTGCATATGCATAAACACTCACACAGAATCAAGTGAAAGCTGTGCATAATCAGATGCAGTATTTTAGGTTCTGCCTTTAATTTAAAAAGCTCAGCATCAATAAATACTTAGGAAATACTTACCTTTTTTCTATCCAATCTAGGTGCAACTCTGCTGTCTTGGGAATCAGACTGGTTGATTTCTGGGTTGGTATCAAGTAATCGTTGCATGGCCCGGTCCCGATCAAATGCAGTTACATAAAAAAGCATTTGTCGGGTATCAAAAGGAAAGAAAAACGGGCTATAAAAGATAAAATACAAATTTATCATCTGGATGAGAATCAGAAGACATTTAAAAAACTTCAAAATCTACATTGAAAACAACTTCTGATATAATACACTATGATGTACACTTTTAACTCCAGCACTGGGGAGGCAGAGATGGGAGGATTCCAAGTTCAGCCAATCTGGTCTACATAACAAGCTCCAGGACAGCCACAACTACATAGAAGGACCCTGTCTCCACACACAAAAACAATTCTGTAACAGTTTTGTTGCCATGGAGTTTTACTCTGCTGCCCAGATTGTCTTTAAACAGTCCTCCTAAAACATCTCTAATGGAAGGGCTTACAGGAGTACACCATTACAACATCACACCTGGCTGTTGTTGAAATTACTAAATGTTGAGCAATCATGTATTCTACATGCCTTTCCACATGAAATCTACAACTGTCTATTCACAATCACCTTAAAAGCTTTTTGAAAAGCTTTGCGGATATGCAAGCCCTCATGCCATAGAAGCTCAACAACATTCCAGACTCTAAATACAAAAGTTAATAGCTTTAGTACTTCATGATAAGCATCACAGGCTTAGCATTTTAAAAAAAAAAAAAAAAAAAAATCACTTGGAAGAAAAGCTCCTTGTTTTCAAAAAGAATGAATCCTACAGCCAAGACACTTCCTACAATAACTTTAAGAGTTTGATTTTATTTTCATTTTTGAGAAAAGCTTTTGAAATGTCCACCTGAATCTGTTTCTTACAATATGGCAGCATGTAGGGGATATGGTGAATCCAAGTGAAAAACCTCAATTTCTAACTTATATTTACCATAACTAATAATAGGCCTATAGTATTTAGTTCAAAAACAGCTCAGAAAACCAAGTAGTCACATCGCTGAACCAGCACCATGCTAACATTTACAAGTATATCAAAGGGACTGTCTTACCAGGTTTTTCCTAGCTCAGTGAGCCATGTTGGGATGTTTCCTGTCATGATTACTAGAGGATCTTGAAGCTGCCTATTCGCTTTTGCTGTTAACTTACTGTTAATAAATTCACTAGTTGGAATAATCTCCTTGCACATCGCATTCTGTAAAATTGAAAAAAAATTAAAAATGTCTTCCATAAGTCAGTCAGTCTGTAGATTTCACCTGTGTTTTTACATGCAATATCCAGTCCCTCAATGCTATTTCCCATTTCTGAAACTTCTTATATCCAAACCCCATGAAGCTGTTTCCTTCACTCTTGCCCATACTATACAAATAAGAAATGAGGTATGCAACCGTTTACTCATGAAGAAATGAGTGCTGGCTAGATTTATGTCAACTTGACACAAGGGAAACCTCAACTTGCTTTTGGTCATAGTATTTCATCCCAGCAACAGAAACCCTATCTAGGACAGAAATTGGTACCGGGACTATGAGGTATTGCTGTGACAGACCTTGACTATGTTATGTTGTTTTTTGGAGGACTATGGAAGCATCTTTGACCTTTGGGCTGGAAAAGTTAGTGAAGATTCAAACCTCAGTGAACTGTGCTGTGGGAGTGTGGAGGATAAGGATGTTGAGTTATGCAGAGGATGGAAGCCTGGCTTGTGAAGTTCCAGGAGGAAGTTTTGGGAGACACTTCATTATCTATCATTATCAGGGCCACTACATATTTTGAATTTAAGAGCCTCTGGCTCTTGTCAGCAAGAGCTCAAGACTCAGCTTTGACTAACAAGAGACCAGCACCACTGAAGTGAAACCTTTGTGTTACTACTGGGACAACTGACGCTGGTCTGCTGGAGGTGAAAAATTAGCAGTAGTTAAGAAGAAACTAGCATCATTGAGGTAAAATCTTCTGGGAAGTGTTTTCTCAGTCAGAACACAAAAGCTATGTTCCAAAGGTGCCCAAAGTTTTATCTTGAACTGGTAGCTGAACTTGGTGGTGTATGAGTCACCTAGGTGGTACTATTTTGAACTCATGAAAAGCAGGTGAGGTTTCACACTGAGGGGCTGTGGGGCATGGCTCAAGTCACTGAAGAGAATTGAGCCCAAGTGAGGCTGCTGGTAAAAGTGCAGCCCAGTTGCAAAAGACCTCAGCATTTTGGAGATGCCAGTACCATGGGATGATCACCAAGGAAAGCAGCAAAAATGAACTGGATCTCAGAAGACAAGCAGTATGCCTGGTAGAGGAAGCTAGAGAAGTGACCCAATTCCCTTGGATGACCCATAAGAGTGAGTGAATCCCAGATATTGGAAATTGGGTTATTTACACTCTCCGAGTTCAGTTTTGCTTTGCTCAGATTGTGGCTGTGCCCTGGTTATTCCCTCTTTAAAAAAAGCATTTACCTTAATTTTGATTTTTGCAGTAGCCTACAATTGAGACTTTGAACTTTTAAGAGACTTTGGATTTTTAAAGAGAATGGATATTTTTTTTAAAAAACTGTGGAACTTTATGTTTTATATTCTGATATTAACATGTGAGCTTGGGGATGAATAAGAAAAAAGATTGTGGTTTAACAGTGATATGCTTGTGTGTCAAGTTGACACAGGATCAACTGTGCTGGCTAGTTTTATGTCAAGTTGACATAAGCTATGTATACTCATTTGAGATGAAGAAGCCTCAATTGAGAAATGCTTCCATAAGACTGGGCTGCAGGCAAGCCTGCAGGGTATTTCTTAGTGATTAATGTGGGAGACACAGTCCATCATGGGTTTGGCCACCACAAGGCTGGTGGTCCTAGATTTTATGAAACAGTAGGCTGAGCAAGCCACCATAAGAACAAGCCAGTAAAGTAAACAGCACTCTTAAATGTCTCTGTATCAGCTGCTGCCTCCTCCAGGTTCCTGACTTGCTTGAGTTCCTGCCTGGACATCCTTCAGTGATAAACAGTGATGTGGAATGTGTAAGCCAAATAAACCCTTTTCTATGCAACTTGGTTTTGGTCATAATATTTCATCCCAGTGATAGAAACCCTAACTAGAACAAAATGTTTGGTTTTTGGTGTTGTTGTTGTTGTTGTTTTTAAAAGACTTAATCCAAGAATATTAAGTTCCACAAAATGAGTTCATTGTGTACTTTTAGTGAATCACTGTTTCTATTTCTAGTATAATAGAACATTCATTTGCTAAACAGAAAGCTATATGGTGACACAGGATTTCATGAAGAGACATTACTCACATCATACAAGTAATACCAGTATCGACTGATGGCGTGTAAAACTCTTAAAAGGAGGATCACATCTAAGGATGGGTCTTCAAAGGTGATATTTTCAGGTGGTGTGGGAATGAGGTAAACTTCTAAAGGATTTGCTACTGACGGGCACACTCCATCTAAAGGATAAAGCAAGTTTCAGTTTTGATCAAAGTAGCAATAGTTAAACCTTCAGACCCAGAGTCATCTTTACCATCTGAAGCTGTGTCACGTTTAACTTCTTGGTATCTCAATGCTATCAGACATTTCTTCCCTTTTAACCTTGTGCACAGAAACACACAGGCATATAAAATGTTCCCCTGAACACACATACCCCAACAGTAGAAAAATAACTCCTTTGCATTCCTTTCTTGTGTAAAGAGACACTGTACCTGTCCTATGACGTTAAGAGCCAATCTGTTTGTTGGTGACCAAAGAAAGCCATCAACATTTTTTTCTTGAAGTTATGAATTCTTAAATATTATAAGAATGTCCTCCTAGTCTATGTTCCAGTTTTAATTTTATAGAGACTTAATTCTTGTTTACTAGACATTAAAGTCAAAGATTTAACTAAAAGTAATCACGCTATAGTAATTTATATCTTAATTATACCCAAAGCTATCTGGAGCTCTCCATCAGTTTTAAAAAGCAGGAATACAGAGAAGCCAGGCCCTGATGACAGCCTGCTTCCCTCAGCATGCCATCTTACCATGCCATAACTCATCGTGCTTCTTTGCATTTCTGGGAGAAGTTTTTGTGGGAGCTGTTTGGGCTCTCCCCCTTTTGCCACCAACACAATCTTTACTACTTTCTTCATCCTCTCTCACAGGTTTGTACCTAAGGGCATAAGACAGTATGAAAATCAAATAAAGATTTTTAAAAGTGCAAACTTTTGAACAAAGCTAATGTCTAAGTCACAGAATTCCTAAGAGTTCCCTGGAATCCAACCTCTCCCTCCCCATTTGTATTCAGAGTTACCAAGCATTTGAAAGAACAGTAATAAATACATACATACGTACGTACGTACGTACGTACGTACGTACGTACGTACATAAATACATAAACAAACAAACAAACAAACAAACAGTAAATAAGCAAGTAAATCTTCCCAGGGCTTTTACTTTGGGAAATGGTTCTCTTAAAGGCAGCATAGGAAGCTGCATTCAAATGCCACAGATTATAAGTTATCAAACTTATAATCTAATACCACACCACTTTGACTACATTAAAAGACCTGAAATGAATCAAAAAGCAGATTACTGCCTTTAAGCATGCTTTCCAGTAGATAGAATCAGGAAGTAATGTTCATATACATATATGCATAATTAAATATTTGAAAGGCTTTTCATAGTTAAAATATAAGAGTTAGGTTCTCCCTCTCCTCACAGAATTGGGTCATAACTTTAAGATGAATTCCAAAATTCACATACTACTAAGAGAAACCAGTTCAGACTTGCCATATTGTATGAGTCTTTGTCCAAATACCAGCTCTTCCCAGAGGATTGCTCTCATCATCCGTAGATTCCCTTTCATCTTCAGCCTGGACACTGAACTGCCGCACTGCCTGATACACAGTCATGTTATATGGTAGTAAATGTTCTCCAATATAAAACTGTAGCCTGTGCCTTACATTTCCCGAATTTAAAAACTGAGCAGCCTGAATAAAGCAAAGAAAGGTCCGTATAAGTCAAAGTACTGACATCTGTAATTAGCCAAGACATATCTGCAGGGGAAACAAGCCAAGACCTATGGTTGATGTTTGAAACTACATTTCCTCCTGAAGCTCGTATATTCAGATTATCATTTAAATGAAATGCTTTAAGACAGAAGTCCTCAGAGACTGAACTTTTTGTTTCAAGTATGAGGATACTTAATATCTACATAGGGATGGGACCCAAGTCTAGACAATTCATATTTTGCATACACATCTTTGAAGACAACTGAATACTGGTATGGTTAGTGTAACTCCCTACCACTTTTTTTTTTTTTTTTTTTTTACAACCTATCACTTACAGGCAAATGTGAATTTTGCACATGTAACATCCAGTTGACTTCAGATTTTGAATTCAACTTATATCAGTCTATTTTTTCCTCTACATACACGATGACAAAATATTTCAATTTATAAGCAGGTGAATAGGAAATTAATAACTAACAAATTAATCACATAAATGCACTAAAATAAGTTATTACTAAAACAATTCATTTCTGTGATTTTTCCAATAGTGATTGATGAGCGCACCATTTGAAACTGGGAAAGTTAAATCACAGATATAGCATGATGAGTATACACTACAACCTGGTGTGAAAAGTACCTTACCAGAGACTCATCTATTTCCTCATCTGATCCATCATCATCACTGTCTTCATCATCTTCTCTTACTCTTCCATACCCTAAGTACCAAAAAAGTCCAAAAAGATAGTTATCTAGGAATATTAGGTGTCAGATGGAAGAGTATATACATTGGTTAAATGGGTGTTTCTCTTTAAAAAGATATTGCATGCTGATCTATGAGGAAGAAAGCTAAAAAATTCTGAAACACAAAACACTCTGCCTATTAAGTAACTGCAACATATGCCTATTTATTTCTGGTAGGAGCAGAGATTCCTACTACCTCAGGTTTATCAGTACCAGAATCTACCCTTTAATGCTAATTTCATAACCATACAAGTAAAGTACATAGGAAGAAAATACCTCTAACCACAAGGTATCTTTCAATAGCTTGCACCAGAGCCAGGGGATCAATCTTAACAGGCCCGCCTTTCCACTGCTTCACATTTGCACAGTCTGGGTGTCTTTGTAACTGACATTTTAACTGATGTGTGTTGAAAAATTTTAAAGCTTGTGATCCTCTGTTGAGAGAAAAGCTCAAGATAATTGAGAAAAAAGGTTATTCTATTATTTTCAGTCAACATATATTTAACTAAAAAGGTAACAAAAACTTCATTTCTTATGGTACAAAGCACTTAAAGATTTAACAACAAATCAAACTATTAAATACAAGTTATTATAAATTAACAATTAACTGTGTTTTTTCAAGCATATGAAAGTATGAAATGAACATGACCTCTGGCCACTCTCATGCCTACCAGATCATTTCTCTGGAATAAGAACTCTTCAATTATCTAAGCACACTCACTTCTGTAGTCTTTTGTCCTTCCCTACTAGATTCTATTTGAAAAACAAGGGGGAAAGAATCCTCTATTTTTTTTGCTACTACTTTATATTTCACTTATAAAAATAAAAACATGAATAATAATATAAAAATAAAAACCTTCAAATTTACTTTGTTACACACTTTTAAATGAATAGCTACATCGGGTTAGTAACTGTTTCCTTTTAAAAGTTCTGACAAGAATCAAATATAGTCAAACTTACATTGTGGCTAATTACACAACACCACAAAGTGTGTAAATATTAAGCAAGCATAGATCACATAAACTCGGACAAAAGTGGAAAGCTGTAGTGGGTAGTCATTCCAGCTTTGACCTGGAAGTTCTAACCCCCATTGAGGCTTCAGTAATGGTCACACCTACAAGGCGAGACTGAGAGAGGATGCTGAAGACCTGAGTTTGGGATGCAGGGGCTCTCTTTGTTCCTGGACCCGGGAGGTAGACCGAGCAGAGTTCTCCAGAGAACACTGCCAGACAGCACTACACACATTTCTCGGATCCTATAAACTATCCCCCTTCACTTGTAAGTTACCCCACAAAGTAAACCTCCCTTTTACATGGAGTGGCCATAATAATTTCACCAATAGAAAACCTCATGGCTTTTTGTTCAGGTTTATGATTTTGAAACTCAAATAGCCCAGGCTAGATCTAAATTCCAAGGTCCTATTCTGGCTACTTATAGCTATTCATTTTTTGTTTTCTGTTTTTGTTTTTCGAGACAGGGTTTCTCTGTGTAGTTTTGCGCCTTTCCTGGAACTGGCTTTGGAGACCAGGCTGGCCTTGAACTCACAGAGATCTGCCTGCCTCTGCCTCCCAAGTGCTGGGACTAAAGGCGTGCCCCACCACCGCCCGGCTTATAGCTATTCATTTAAAAGGATGTAGCAAAGTAAAAACTGAAGGTTAGTTTTTATTTTTGTATTATTTTGCTTTTATTTATAAGTGAAATCTAAAGTAAAAGCAAAAAAACCAAAACAAACAAAAACAAAAAAACAAAAAAACAAATCCACCTTCCTTGGTTTTTGAACAGGACTGCAGGTATGCCACCATGTTTGGTGATATCCTTTTTCTTCATTACTATCCCAAGATAGTATAACGCTATATAGCACAATATGGAGAAAACAACTTCAGCCACACTATGGATAACATTATCTACATGACTATAAATACTGTTTTGATTCAAATTTTTAAAAATGTTTTTAAAACCCATGAAAACATGGGTTTTAAAATAAAAATAATTTATATTAGATTTTTTTCAACGAAGCTTCAACAATTCCCTATCCCATTAATTTTATCTTTCTACAACAACTTATAAGTCCTTAAAACCAGTAAGAATAACACAAATTTTTACTAAAAGTCAAACTTCAATATGACCACTTACATGCTAAAACCCATTAAAATACAGTTATAACCACTTATCACATGAAGTCACATTTTATTGTGACTATTTTATTGCCCACATACAAAAAAATTACTGGACCAGGCAGTGGTGGCGTTCGCCTTTAATCCCAGCACTAGGGAGAAAGGCAGGCAGACCTCTGTGAGTTTGAGGCCAATCTGGTCTACAAAGTGATTTCCAGGACAGCCAGAGCTGTTACAAAGAGAAACCCTGTCTCATAAATAAATAAATAAATAAATAAATAAATAAATAAATGAATGAATGAATGAATGAATGAATAAATAAATAAATGCCGGGGCAGTGGTGGTGCACGCCTTTAATCCCAGCACTCGGGAGGAAGAGCCAGGCGGATCTCTTTGAATTCGAGGCTGGCCTGGTCTACAGAGCGAGATCCAGGACAGGCACCAAAACAACACAGAGAAACCCTGTCTCTAAAAAATCAAAAATAAATAAATAAATAAATGGATGAATGAATGAAAATAAATAAGTTGGAAAAGCATTACATATTAAAACTTACCAATATAGAAAAACTAAAAATGTGTTATCAAATATTGTCAACCCCGTCACTGATTTACCTACTTGAAAAATGTTAGTTGTTAAAAATACATGGTATGAGGTAGTGTCACATGTCTAATCCCAGCACTTGGGAGGGAGAGGCAGGCAGATCTCTTTTTAAGGCCAGCCTGGTCTAAAGAGTTCTAGGGACAACCAAGACAGCACAGAAAAATCCTGTCTTAAAAAAACAATAAGTGAATAAACAAAAAATAGACACATGGCATGATCTTACCAAGACCTTACTACCAGGCCTTTCACCATGCTTTCCTTCAACAATTCTGGTGGCAAGTGGACATACCCAGGCAATGGTCCTTACCTGCCGCCAGCCCCATTTCCACTAGGGAAATCGTGCACTTTGACTGGAAATTGTTCCATTTGGCTGAGACAGTTGTTCATCTTGTGAACTAGTGCCAATAAAGGTGCATGGCCCACTGGTTCTACTCTTCCAATGGGCTCTTCTCCAGGAAGCTAGAGTTATAAATAAACCATCATTAAACATAGCTTTTTGAAAAGTCAGCACTCCACAGCAAAAACTTTAATAAGTTTCACAAATGGAAATTTATCTATTACTTTTGTTAACTTTTAAAATAGACTTCATTAGGACAATGTTTCCAAGTAAGTTATGTGCATCGATTAGTGTTTTGCCTGCATATATGTCTGAGTAAGGGCATTGGAACCCTGGAACTGGAATTACAGACAGTTCTAAGCTGCCATGTGGGTACTGGGAATTGAACCTGGGTACCCTGGAAGAGCAGACAGTGCTCTTAACCAATGAGCCATATCTGCAGCCCCATATTATACACATAATATACATAATAAGGTATAAAATACTTGGTATATCCCACACTTGCACTGACATGCATGTGAAAATAAGATTTAAAACAAAACAAAATCTAACAATACCATTTCTGCCTTTGGGTAGTGTTTAAAAAAACCTTAAAACACTTAAAAGGGGCATGGTTAAGTAGTTTTGATAAGAAGCAGTAATCATTAAGCTCATTACACACCAATATGCAGAAAACAACTTCCTGAGTTATGACTTCTTTAAAGCAGTTGTAACAGGTCTAATCAACAGTAGTTAGCTCTATTCTCACCTACTAGGGGCAAAGGAAAAAATGGGAACAAGCCTACAGACCCTGCCCTTGTAATCTATATTAAAGATTGGTTGTTAAGCATCTTTTAGGGACAAAATGGAAAATTTATCTTCCTATCATAACCTCAGCAAATATTAATAAGTATTAAGAAGTGTTGCTACTATTAAGGGCTTATCTTATAGGGGGAGGAGAAAAACTGGACAAAGTTGATGTGGCTTCTTGTCACTAGTGGTTGGGAAAAGGGTATTTGGTGGGTTTTTTTTTTTTTTTTTTTCTTCTTCTTTTTAAATACTATCCCGGCTAGCCTAGAACTCACTACATACCTGAGGAGTATCATTCTGCCTTGCCCTTGGATCTCAATTATGGGCTTCATGTTTAGTTTCATTTTTACTTTCTATTTTATGACAAACAAAAACATAAAGAAGCCAAGCATGGTAACTCATACCTTTAACCCCAGCACCTGAGAAACAGAGGCAAGTAGATTTCTGAATTCCAGGCTAGGCTCATCTATATAGTAAAACTTTGTCAATAAATAAATGTCAAAGGAATCTAACTGAGTAGGCAACAAACAGGACACAAATGTATGCACTTGCTAATACCAACTCTATTAAGACATCATGACCATTATTAACTTACTGGAGAAGAAAAAAAGACATGTAGGAATCGCTTTAATCGGATCTCTCTGCTGACAGCATCCTTTTCACTTTTAGATGTCAAATACAGCAACAGCTGTTTCACAAATCCACTATGTTGGATTTCAAATGATGAAACATCTGACTCAGAGACTATGCTACGGATTTCTACAAGGCACTCAGCTCCACCGTCCACCTGAAAGAGTGGAGAATTCCCCAATAACAATCAAAATATATATTCAATGGCTTTTAAAACAAACAAAGAAACACCGGCCAACCACAAACCCTATGAGCTCAAATACAACCTGGCAGGATGGCCCACTGGTACAATAGTGGTTCGACTATTACTGGGCTAAATCTCTGCTGAGATCTGAAGCCCACTTGCACAAGAGAGAATTCATTCCTAGTACTATAAACCTGGTTAAAATCCAATAGAGGTCAAAAGACCTACTACTGTTATGAACAAGTAATAATGAAGATCATGACTTTGTACAATTAATATTTTAATAATGTTTTCAAATTGGAGTAAGGCTCTTTTAGAAAGCCAGATTAAAATGATAAAATATGACATTGCTTTAAGAAACTTAAAATATTTATGAAATAGCTTAGAAAACAAGAACAGTACATTTAAAAAAAAAAAGAATCATGATAAAGCCTCAAGCTTTTACGATGAATTCTTATGAATCTCCAGTTGGAGATGGTTATAAGGAATTATAAAAGACATTCTGAAATTTTATCATTTGTCAAGAAATAGGAAACACAAAGAATGGAAAGCAATGGCTAGTCAAGAGACAAGAAGCAAAAGAAATTAGTTGTAGAAACCAATGTTTCTATCTACCAGCAAACAAGATGCACTGCACAATACCTGGAGGTTGAGTTGTTCAGTTGCAGCACAAAGTCTCTGAAGTACATTCAAGGCAGGGTTGCTTCCATCCATATTCTCAGAACTAAAATAACGCTCAACAAATTTATGTGCCTGCTCCTTAATCCAACCTTTAATTTTTTCTCTAAAATGAGAAAAAAGGAAATATTAATGTCTTTGTGTAGGTATGAAAAAAAAAATCTACATTGAAAGTCAGATTAGGACCTAAAAGATATTTCAGCAGGTTAAGGTTCTTGCCACAATGACCTGAATTCAATCCCCAAGATCCATCCACAGGGTGGGAATAACGAACTTCTACAAGTTGTTTACTGATCTATGATCAACTGGTCTATGATCATAACTATAATTCAGAGTAAGTAAATTTAGCTTCATTCTGAAAACAATTTATGTATAGATTTATAGATTTATTTATAAATTTATCTATAGAATTGCTTAGGTACAAAGAATATATTTCAGGTCATCACATGAACAGTAACAAGATGTTTATATGCAAATGCAAATATACATAAGCATGTAAGCAGGCTGATTAAATTATAAACTTTAAAAATACATTTGCTTATTCTTCATAATTTAGAGAATCAGCAGCCAACTCAATATTAAAAGTTATTAAAATAAAAAAGTTATCTTTAAAATAAAATACTACTGGAAAAATGTCTTTTTTATAGAGGAAGTACTCTATACAGGTACTCTACATCACCATCAAGTGCCTTCCCAAGAAAGGCATTGCCATATGATCCATACACTGGTGAGAAATTTAGTATCTGACATAGATCCAAGTACTTTTTAAAAAAGAGCTGCTCTCAGCTACCAATCTTCAAACCCCATTAAATAGGTAAAGATTTTTCACTAGAATATATAAACATGAAATACAAGCATAACCCAGTGAAAGGTTCCACATAGAATAAAACTAACCAGAGCTTTCAAGTAGTTATATTATTGCTGTGTTTTTTTTTTTTTGTTATATATATTTTTATTTTACAATACCATTCAGTTCAACATATCAACCATGGGTTCCCCTATTCTCCCCCCTCCCACCCCCTCCCACCCCCTCCCCTTACCCCCAGCCCACCCTCCATTCCCACCTCCTCCAGGACAAGTCCTCCCGCGAGGACTGTGATCAACTTGGTAGACTCAGTCCCAGGAGGTCCAGTCCCTTCCTCCCAGACTGAGCCAAGTGTCCCTGCATAAGTTCCAGGTTTCAAACAGCCAACTCATTATTGCTGTGTTTTTTATATGCAAGGAATAGGGATGGAACCAAAGGCAAGTCTTGAGCTACAGACATCTTTGACTTGAGAACAAACTGAACCAAGTCCATGTATCACCTACATGTGATGAATGTGCTCAATACAATTATATTGAGACCTTTCAGATGAAGGACTCCCACCCCCACTCCCAGCACACACTTCACCTGTTATTGGATATGGTGTCTTTTGAGGCTGCCCTGGCAAGACCACTGACTCCCGCAGTGCGTGCTGGCTCGATGTTGTTGCTGTTGGACTGTGCACTTAACCTTCCCCATGTTTTTGGATTCAAGCTTGCCAGGAAGGAAGATTTAGGTGACTGAGTAGTGGTAGGGCTTTTAGCTATAAACAGAAAAGAATTACATTCAAATCATTTCAACAAAACTAAAGAGAAATACTTCAACAAATACTTCAGTCTTAATACAGGAATTAAGAGTACCAAATCATGATGAGGACACTTATTTGATCACCTCCTCCTCCGTTTCCCCATCACTTTATCAAAGGACTCACCTTGATTGTCTACTTTGTCATCATCTCTTGGAGGTGAGTACTTAGGCCTCCTTGGCCCTCGTTTTGGCAGTCGTTTTCTCTTGAGAACATCACTCAATCGACTGTTGCATGGAAGAACAATGGAGGAGGTTAGCAATTACCAATGAAGAACCCAGCTAAGATAGAGGACAGTACCATGAATGAAAATATCACAACAATTTTCAATGAGTGATTTAATATGGAGTCTGTAACAGTCATATTCTATAGGAGTTATGGAGATAGAAAGTTTAAATTACTAACTGCTAAAATTAATAATAAAGGCTTAATTTTCTTCATATCCAACTACAAGAATATAACACATTTAACAAAAATACAAAGAACTGGCTAAAAAAAAAAAATCAAATAAAATCAAACTTGAGTATATTTCTTCCCTAAGCTAACTTGCAACAGAATATACATGGGATTCAATGTTCATACTGTAAAAGTATTCTAACTACTTATAGTATCATGCCCAAAAAGCATAATGAAAGCAATAATATTCATTCTGTTGAACTTGTAGCCTTTTTTTTCCCCCCGAGACAGGGTTTCTCTGTGTAGTTTTGGTGCCTGTCCTGGATCTCGCTCTGTAGACCAGGCTGGCCTTGAACTCAGAGACACTCCTGGCTGCACCACCACCGCCGCCGCCCAGCTTTTTATCATGTTTTGTTGGGTTGTTGAGACAGTGTTTCCAAATTACCTCATGTAGGACCTCAAATCTATGACTCTCTTGCCTCATTCTCCTTGGCTCTGGGAGTAAGGCTTCATCTGCCCAAAATCTTTATTCTAAATAACACAATACCCTACACCACACCTTGCAAAAACTGCTGCTCTTGACATTTACAAAGATACATAAGAACGGGCAGATAGAAGAACATTCTAGGGGATAGCAAGATAGTTGACTAGGTAAAGGCATTTGCCATCAAGTCAGACAACTTGAATTTGATCCCAAGGACCCACATGACAGAACAAGTGAACCAATTGGTGCAAAATGTCCTCTGACTTCCACACTGGCACCAGAAACATGAACACACAAATATATATGATTTAAAAAATTAAAGTGTTCTGTTGTTCTGTGGCTCAAGTAACATTTAAATAATTAAAATGATTTTTTTAATTAAGAAAAGACTCCCAAAGTCTGATAATTCTCTAAGTATACTTTATATTCAAATGCATAACCAAGAAAAACAGACTTTCAGAAAGTAAATTACTACAAAAACTTGTAAATGGAAAATGAACAATTAAAAAATGGACTAAAGAGCTAAACAGAGAATTCACAAAACAAGAATCTCAAATGGCTGAAAGACATTTAAAGAAATGCTCAACATCCTTAATCATCAGAGAAATGCAAATCAAAACGACTCTGAGATACCACCTTACACCTGTCAGAATGGCTATGATCAAAAACACCAA